GTTTCGGTAATTATTTAGGCCCCTACATTAAACCTTCTCAAGACAAGCAGCCGTGGCTTCCATCAGAGAGCCGTGTCCACTCTTCTTCTCGTCGTCCTGGCCCCCAAAAAAACACATGAGCAAAAATTAGGATAGGGATATCCCATAAAGACCCCCTTATAATGAAGCCCCATAAGGTAGGGATATCCCTATAAAATGCTTATGCTTATGTCCTTTTGGGGGTTCCTAATGCAAAGTCGCAGGACACGGTCACGGGCACTGTTTGAAGTCTTGAGCGGGGCTTCGGGGGTACCTATTCAGCCATGAAATGTAGGGGCCTTAATAATTAGAATAATTTTTTTTTGGGGGGGGTTCCGTATTATAAGTTTTAGTATACTATACCCCCAAACCCTATTTAAAATAATTCAGGCCCCTTACTATAGTAGCCAGTTGGGGCTTTTCAGTTATAGTATACTATACCTCCAAACCCTATTAGATATTATTAAGGCCCCTATAGTAGCCTGTTGGGGCTGAAAGGTTTTGCTGTGGCACGCGGGCTTCCGAAGCGATCCTGGGCTTCAAAGGCTCGTTGCCTGCGCCCCCTGGAGGCTGCCTTTACCCCAACTCCTTGCCATAGGGTTTAGGGTTTAGGGTTTAGGCTTTAGGGTTTACGCCCCAACCCTAAACCCTAAACCCTCCTGAACCCTAAACCCCTAAATCCTAAACCCTGAATTCTAAAATCTGAACCCTAAACCTCGAAACCCTCAACCATAAATCCTAAACCCTAAACCCCTAAGGCCCGGGTCCATGTATTCTACACTGGGGGGTTTAGGGTTTAGGGTTTCGGTCAAGAATACTACTAATAATGGTGATAACAATACTAATACCAATACGATCTTGTAGCAGTGACGACAATAAAATTTAATGAATGATAGTAGTAGTAATAATTGCAATAAAAAAACGTAATAACAGTTGCGACAATAAGAGTAACAATCGTAGTCGTAGTAGTAATCACAATAACACAATGACGATAAACAAGTGCAGTGATTGTGTGATACTAAACGTATCCCGAACCCTATAAATCCTAAACCCTGAACCCCTAAACCCTGAACCCTTAAACCCTAAACCCTAAACCCCAAACCCTAAACCCTAAACCCTAAAACCTAAACCCCGAACCCTATAAATCCTCAACCCTGAACCTCTAAACCCGTATCCTTTGAGCCCAAAGCACCCGAAACCTCACCTCATCCTCCTCGTCTTCGGACCTCAGCTCAAGCTTCCTCTGGTAACTCGAGGGCTTGGGTTTAGGGTTTAGGATTTAGGGGTTTAGGGCAGGGTTTAGGGTTTAGGGTTTAGGGCTTGGGATTTAGGGGGTTTAGGGCGTAGGGCTTTGGATTTAGGGGGTTTAGGGTTTAGGGCTTTGGGTTTAGGGCGTAGGGTTTTGGGTCAGTACTCAGTCGAAGGAAACGTTACTTTAGCATACAGGCGAATTGCCTTATCCAAACAAACACAGAAACAGCAGCACAGATGGTTCATACGTATGTACTATGTCTGTAAGTTCGTGTGCATGCATGCATGCATCTTTGCATGTATGTCTGTCAGTTCCTTAATGTTGAGGATTTTGCGTCTCGGACCTAGCGTTTAGGGTCCGGTGATCGGAGCACACTTGAGAGACAGTACCTGTCCGCGCCTTAACCCCGTGCAACCCCACCCTAGTTCTATCGGTCCGAATATGGGTCGTTCTCAACATTATGGCCAATTCTGTTGGATCCCCACACAGGATGAAGTCACTCTTACAACAAGGACATCACAACAACAAGCTACCCCAGCTTCGCGGCTTCGCGAACCCTACCGCATGCTGGAGCCACTGAGATTAGACTAAAGGGGGGCGAAGAAAGGCTGTTGCTTCCGGTGAACCCCAGCGCGTCGATTTAGTGCTATTTGCAGGATGTTTAGGGTTGTGGAGGCTTGGTACACCAAAGGTTCGAGAAAACAATAAGTAGGTATTCGGGCTTGCGTAGTGCACCTGGGTGCTCGTTGAGGGTCTGAAGGTATATTATGATTAAGGACTTGGACCCCTGGGTGGACCCACTGGTCACGGAAGAGAGAACGTTACGATTGGGGCTTTTCGGATTTGGGTTGCGGGGTATATTATGCTGATTAGGCTGTGATGGCATGGGGACTTTCAGCAAATACTATCACTACTTCCATAAACCCTAGACCCTAGACCCTAAACCCTGAACCCTAAACCCTAGACTCTAAACCCCAACCCTAGACCCTGAACCCTAAACCCTAAGTCCTAAGTCAGGCTCACATCTTTCGGAGGCCTCAAAAGGTGGGATGAAGGTAGGTAGGATCAAGGATCCCCAATAGAAGGACTATGATTTGGGAATATCCCACCTACCTTCATGCCACCTTCCGAGGCCTCCGAATCTTAGACCTGCCGGCCGGCTGCTGTGCGGTGCTTTGGTTCTTCTTCTCCTGGCGGCGACGCGTGCATCGGGGCCACTGGAGTCTTCTCTGGTTCCCTGTTGGGGATATATTTAAAATGATCATTTTTAATCCTTATTGGGTTTTAATAAAACAAATGTAAAATTGTGTCCAACAAGGACCCAGTTCTGATGTTGGGAAGGGAATCCTGGGCCCTAAGCTTTTCAGCTTCAGGATCTAGGGCTTAGGGTTTTCTCGCTGTTTCGGCTGTAGGTCTAGAGTCCGCGGCATCGAATCCGAAGCTTCGCATGTAGAGTTTGGGGTTTTGGCTGAGAAGCCCTTAACCCTAAACCCTAAACCCTAAACTCTAAACTCCTGCAACCATTTAGGGTGTGGGCCTAAACCCTAAACCCTAAACTCTAAACTCCTGCAACCATTTAGGTGTGAGCCGGTTTGCCAGCGTTCAGGACAGGGGGTTTTCAGAGGACATGGGGGCTTGGGGCGCCTGGGTCCTAGCTTTAGGGTTGAGGCTTAAGGCTTTTGGGCTTGGGTTTGGGCTTTAGGGTTTACTGGTTCCCTTTTGGGGCTACATTAAAGATGATCACTGTTAATCCTTATTGGGTTTTAGTATAACACAATTGTATCCAACAAGGACCCAGTTTAGGGATATGGCAGGACATGGGAAACGTGCTCCCACCACCAAGAAGCCGCCCTGCTCACAAGCCACGATGTCCGGAAGCCACCGCGCCACGGAGCCCGGAAACGATCTCTCGCCCAACTACAACTCGTAACCCTCATACTAGCCCTCATACTCGTGACGGTCTAAAGAACCCGTACAAGAACCCTTATAATAGCAACCACCCCAAGAGCCTAAGGTACCATGAGTCCAACACTCCGCCCGGGCCATCGGAGCCAACTTTGTAACCGAAAGGGAGCATATGAAACAACAGCGCCCGAAATGCAAAACTGCCTTAGATCCTTTCCTCTTCTCCAACGTGCAAAGAGGGTTTAGGGTTTAGGGTTTAGGGTTCCCAAACCGAATCCCCAATTTCCTAGAATCTGCGGCATTGGCCGGGTCTGCGAGATTCTTAAGGCTTTGGGGCTGTCGGGTCGTGGAGGATCGAGAGCCGTTTAGGGCTTGTGGCTTGGAATGGTTTAGGGTTTAGGGCTTGGGCAAGTGGTTTAAGGTTTAGCGCTTGAAACGGTTTAGGGGTTTGGGCACCTTGAAGCCCAAACCATCTGCCCTCAGGCCTGCTTCACTGACTTCGGCGTCGTTTCCGGCTTCTTCGTGGTGGTTGTGGTGGTGGGCAGGGTCGTTGTCACCTCTTCCTGGGAGTGGCGACCCCAACCCTCCACTACGTTCATTAATTAGGGTCCCTTCTTAAGGTCCTTCTTATATAAGGGTGCCGTACTATGCTGGGGACCTAAAGACCTAGAACAACCCATATTACTTCCGGGGCTTTAAAGCCTCGCAAACCTCCCTCCTGTTTCGGAAGTTGGGGGCTCATTAAACCCCTGTTTAAGGTTTCGGATGTAGCGATTTGGGGGGCTCCCAAACCCCAAAATGAAAGCCATTTCGGGCCCCCAACCCTTCAGATTCAGCCTTCTTTGGGTTTAGGGTTTAGGGTTTAGGGTTTAGGGTTTAGGGTTTAGGGTTTAGGGTTTAGGGTTTAGGGTTTAGGGTTTAGGGTTTTGGTTCAAGATACGGGGGCTTGCAAAGTGGAGGGACCTTTGGGACTTGGAGTGGATCTAAGGGCCTTAGGAGGGACCCTTAATAGGGACCCTTGTAGGTTATTGGGGTTAATATGGAGACGACCTGGCTATATACGGGGTACATAAGGACTGTACAATGGTTAGACTAACTAATAGTTAAGGTAATGGGATGAAGGGTCCCTATTAGGGGTCCCTCCTAAAGTCCTTAGAGTTGAGGGGTTTTGGGTTTAGGGTGTAGGAATTTGTAGGGGTTGAGGGGTTTTGGGCCGTCTAAAAACAAGGTGATGGGGGCTCCTGGTGTCTAAGGCGTGTCGGGCTATCAGAACGGAAATCCCGCTTAACAGGGGTTAAGGGCTAAGGTTTCATAGTTCCGGGTTCAGAGTTCAGGGTTTAGGGTTTAGGCGGTTTAGGGTTCAGGGTGCCTACTAAACCCTAAACCCTTTATTTCCTTTGAGTAGAGCGATAGGAAACCTCAGGTGACTGAAGGCCACGCGACGCAAGGAACGAAGAACCCCCCCAAAAAAAGCTCCACCCCGAAGCCGAAGCCTGGCAATGCTTCATCCCCACGTTTAGGGTTTTGGGTTTGGGATTTAGGGTTCGTGGTTTAGGGTTTAGGATTTAGGATTTGGGTGGAAACTTGAATCTGAAACACTACCAAAAAAACCTTTGGTGTGTCATGGTAGAACAATGGCAAAAACCTCCAAAAGGCTCCTATTGTACATACTGTTGGGATCTAGGTAGTTACTTCGGGGATCAGGGGAGATAGTAAGCAGGGGTTACAAGTAAGGTAGCTATGGTTAGTTACACCTACTTATCACTCTGAAGATGGTACTTTTTTAGAACTCTACTTGCTAACCTCACTGAACCTCTCAGTATGGTGTTAGCTAAGCGACATGTGAACAGACGAAAGCAGGAGAAAAACAAGCAACAGTCGTCGTCAGTACATGTGGCAGTAATCTCAGTAGTCGTCGTCGTCTCATTGTAACGGCAGTGGTAGTGGTAGTGGCAGTGTCACTGGTTGTGGTCGTGGGGTGATGGTAGTCGTAGTGACAGCGCCCGGTTGCGATAGCGGTAGGTGTAGCGGTAGGTGTAGCGGTAGTGGTTGTGGTAGCCCTGAATTCGAACCACCCGGTTTCCCCGGATGCCCTAACTCAAACCTGAACCTGAACCCTCAACCCTGATGTAGCGGCCTTAATAATTAGAATTGGGTTTGGGGGTATATTATAAGGAAACCCCCCAAACCCTATCTTAATTATTAAGGCCCCTACATTAAAAACCCTAAACCCTCAACCCCAACAACCCTAAACCCTCAACCCTAGAAACCCTCAATTCTCAACCCTACTTGGAGGCCCAGGGGACTTAGTAAGTAGGTTATAAGTAGAGTTATAAGTACCCTACATTGAGTTACCCCAATTATAACCCTACCTATAACCGACTTACTAAGTGCCCTGGGCCTCCAAGCAAGGCCCGTAAACCCTAAACCCTAAACCCTAAACCCTAAACCCTTAGTGAGTAAGGTCATAAGTCCCCTAATTGGGGTTATAAGTATAGTTACCTTTGTTATAACCCTACTTACTAAGTCCCCTGGGCCTAGTAGAAGCCTTGAACACCCTCTTGAGACGCGCGCCGCATCTTCCGTGAAGGACCGGTTGAGGACCTCAAAACGGACTTAGGGTTTAGGGTACTATAAGGGTTAGGGTTTAGGGTACTATAAGGGTTTAGGATTTAGGGTTTAGGGTTCACTTGTGGGATGAAAATGGCTGAGGGCTTGCTAGGACGGTTCCGAAAAGCGTATAAGAGTGAAGAGTTCCTATGAGCGGGCTCCGGTGACACGTTCGGTTTTGAGTTTAGGGTCCAGGGTTGTGGGATGAGGGTGATTCTAGGATTCCGGTGGCTTACCCTAATAAGGCTTCCAAGGACCTTATAGTTAGGGCCCTGGACCCCCTTAAGGACACAATAAAGAGGTCCCCCCGGAAGCCTAGGGTTAGGTTAAGGGAACCTGTACCCAGAGAGCCCAATACCCCTTAATTAAGGAATATACCTTAAATCAGAGTATGAAGGCCCCTATAAGTTAAGCAAAATTCCTTATTTAAGGGGTATTGGGCTCTCTGGGTAGTCATTTAGCCACTTTTGCTATTGTCAGAGCCTCAACCTCGATCCGACGGTCGAAAAGAACAATCATGGCTCGGTCGTGGTTAGCTTTAGGTTCAGGGCTTAGGGCTTAGGGTTTTGGGGTTTAGGGTTTTCGGGTTTCGGGTTTAGGGTTTAGGTTAGCTTAAGGTTTAGGGTTGAGGGTTTTTGTGGTATCCTTTCTGTATCAAGGACTGCAGGAGGAGCAGCGCACCTTTTTCGGCCTGACGGAAGGCCAGAACAGCTGCATCTGGTCAAATCCATTCCTTGGGAAGTTGTTACCCTACCTATAGTCTCCATTGTAGTTCCTTTTTTGGAAAAACCAATTATATTTTAAGGATTTTATAGGTATCCCCAAAAAGGACCTACAATGGAGACTACAGGTACACCCTAAACCCTCGGGATTTGGGGCATCACGACTCGGTCTTAGGGCTGTTAGGCTTGGGGCGGCCAACGCGATTGTCAAGTTCACATTGTCACATTTAAAAGGTCGAGCGGAAGCCAGACTAACATGAAATGGCAAGCCTTGTTCCAAGAATGTCGGAAGGCTCCTGTGGAGGGGCGACCAAATAGATAGTTGATCTCTTTTGCAGAACAAAAACCCGGAACTTTTCAGTATCTGCTGACACAAACGGCTTAGATCTTGGGGTTTACTACCTAGGCTCCCGAAGCAGCTATTTCTACATAATAATATGGGTTTCCTCCTACCTGACACCCACAGCCGCTACACCTTTGAGGATTTCGAGTTTAGGGTGTAGCGTTTTGGACAGTAGCGCGTAGGGTTTAGGCCATCCCCTATCTTACATCAGGCTGCTCATCTATGAATTGGTCTGGCTGTCCTCAGTTCAAGAGCGGAACTGGGCTCGCGAAGTGTGCGGTCAAAGCGCATTTTCGTCCACCTCTCCCATGCCCGACTTGGTCTCACATAGGTGGCTTCATAATTAGAATAGGGTTTTGGGGCCCCTTACGCTATAGTTATACTAAGAAACCCCCAAATAGTGTAGGTAATTGTATAGGCCCCTATGTTACTGGAGCCCTGCGACATTCTAGGCCTGCCTTGCTCTCAAAATGACCTCCTTTGCTAGAAATCCACTCAAGAAATAGAAATCCGCCAGCAAACGTAGGTTCTAGGAGGACCTGGGTCTAGGAGTTAGGGGCAGGCTCAAGGGGCTAGGGTTTAGGGTTTAGGGTTTAGATGGGGTTTAGGGTTTAGATGCGAGATGGGTTTAGGGTTTAGGGTGTAGATGGGTCTAGGGTTTAGATGGTGTGGGTTTAGGGTTTAGGGTTTGGATGGGTTTAGGGTTTTGGGGTTTAGACGGGTTTAGGGATTTGGGCTTAGAGAGGGGGATCTAGGCACGTTCAGACCATGCTCTTCGATCCACACTTCGGTGACGACTCGCATTCCAACGGTCCATCCGAGAAGTCTCACATGCTGAACCCTATTAGGGTTTAGTTCTTTAAGGTTTAGGGAAAGCCTAAACCCTCAAACCAGAGCTTACACTTGAGGGTTTAGGGCAAATGGTTTCGCGGCCGGGGTTTCTAGGGTCTTCGGAGTTTAGAATTCGCTGGCTCCTGGGTCGAGACCCTTGAACCACGGATCTATTGAACATTAGGGGTTAGGGTTTAGGGGTTTAGGGTTTAGGGTTGAGGGGTTAGGGCTTAGGGTTTAGGGTTTTGGGGTTTCAACATAGGCCCAACACAGTGGGCCTTGAACTCCAGTGGATGTAATTAAGCATCAGAGACTGGGTGTGGGGGCTGGTCTATAAGTCTATGCCCTAAGCTTTTAACCCCAAACCATGACACTAAACCCCCAACTCTAAATCGAGGGCTTACGCGTCAGAAGGACACCGGCCAGCGAACCCCCAGTACTATAGGGGCCTGAAAAATCAGAATGAAGATTTGAAATACTAGCAGAATTCAGTTGGAACTCAGATCCCTTATATTACATGGCTTTGAAGCACCTATGGTATATTCGCATAACGACCATAGCGGGAGATTCCTGATTCTTCATGCCCCTATAAGGCTGCATCAAGCAGATGAAACCTGCTGACCCCGACGGAGCTCTAGTGGATTCGTTTGGGTTGAGGAAAGATGCTCGTAGGCACTGTCAGAGCTGACAACTGCTGAGCGAAAACTGTTGATGATGAAAGCAGGAGACATCAAACCTTAGACCCAAAAAAGGCCGTAAATCCTAGTCATCCATCATCCGCATTGACATACTAACCGTCATCACCGCTATACTCAGCAGTTGCATACTGATGGTCATCGTTCACGCAACCTTCAACCCGAAACTCCAGGCCATCACCGTCACCATCATCATCATCATGATCATCATCATCATCTTTTTATTATTTTATTATTCTTCGTCATCTTCATGTTCATCATCAGGGCCGTGTGGGCTGACGGCTACGGCTGGAAAGTCACCGAGGCACCGAGGCATATGCTTAGGGTACTGCTCCCATACAGTAGCAGTCGATAATAAGAGTCTGGAAAGTTCAGGTGATGCTGATAAGGTGGACAAGACGGCAATCGCAACCCAGGCTTCAGGGCTTCAGGATGTGCGGCTTGTGTAAACCTTAATCTTTACAGCCAGATTGCGATTGTTGTGCGATTCCGTTCCACTGAGACGCCATACTTCAGCAAACCTGGTTCCCTGTTGGGGCTATATTAAAAATGATCATGTTTAAAATCCTTCTTGGGTTTTATTATAACAAAAATGTAAAAAACTGTGTCCAACAAGGTCCAACAAGGACCTGCTTGGGTTTTCTTATAACCAAAACGTACAAGTGTTTCCAACAAGGACCCAGATTAGGGTTTAGGGTTTAGGGTTTAGGGTTTAGGGTTTAGGGTTTAGGGTTTAGGGTTTAAAGGATCATGGGGCTTAGTAAGTAGGGTTATAACTAAGGTAACTATACTTATAACCCCAATTAGGGAACTTATAACCTTACTTACTAAGTCCCATGGTCCTCCAAGTAATCGAAAATCGTGACTCT